ACGGATCATCGGGCACACTTCAATTCTTGGGTGATGAGGCATCTTCTTTCTACTCTCAAGAAACATTTCGTTTCGAGGCCCGAAGATCTTGCCGAGCCGCGCGTTTTAACAAATATCGGCCGGTTTGTGACACATCTCGGAGAAGCGGTCTTTGAAGGTTGGTTTATTGATGGAGTAACCACGACTATTGAATTCGCAGGGACGATCTTGGAGTACCTCCAAAGGCCCGATGTCTCTCGCATGAAGACCATCAGGCTATGTAGCCAGGCGGTTACGACGATCCGAACGACTGTTTTCCGCCTAGTCATTCTTGGACTATCCGAAGCCGAAGGCCCTGATGCACTGAGCTTCTTGAACCACCTGTCGTACTGGCAAGTTGTGCTCTTGTCTGGCGATGCTCGCTCAGACTATTTGCAATTGCTATGCTATCTACTTTACACCAAGTTAGACGATCAAGACGAAAGAGTACGCCAAGCTGCGGCTGGGCTCTTCAGGATCTTGCTTGTTCAAAAGCCCACTGATATGGCTACCATTCTAAGTCACGCTTCGACCCATCTGCAGAAGCGGCTTGCTGCGGGCTTTGAGACCGTGGTGGGGATGGACGATTCCGAATTCCTACAGTGGTTCGATGATCAGAAGGAGGATCTTCAGTCTGTTTTCTTTGGTGTCTTATCAAAGCAATGGGAAGAATTTGCTCAGGAGGAAAACACAAATATTGACAGTAGTTGGCGGACGCGGGTATCCAGACGCCAAGACCGGTTGAAGCAGTGGAAACAAGCGGAAGTTCTCGGCGATGATATTACACGCAAACATGAGGCAACCTTCCCTCATTGGGCTTCGAACATCTCAGCGTCCGAATTTCTGAAGTCTCAACGAGCACTTCAGGATCAGCAAGACGACAGTGCATTCATGTGGTCAGCTTTCTCCAAGCTAACTGTGGATCTACGGCGGTATGGCGGCCTTTTAAGCGAGGATCGGGAGAAGAGATGGCGTCTGGACCAGACGGAAGGACGCAGTCGCATGCGACTCCGCCTGATTCCAGATGACTCGAGTGAGAGACAGGATTATCAGCCCAAGCGGAAAGCATCGGAGCCGCCAGCTATCAAATTGGACACACAGGTTCAACCGTCTCCTGGCGCCGACGCACTTGACCTCACTCCCATGGCTGCGAACAATGAAGCTGCGGATGGCAATGTTCAAAGCATTGGTCCAGATGGTAGAAGCATGCTGGAAGAAAGCTTTGAGATGATCGACGACCCCAAAGCTGACTTAGAAGACTACGAGGACAAGAACCGTAAGGTCATGCGGAGTTTACATCGGGGGGATCAAGTCGAAGGCGTGTGTAACATGTCCCGGATTATTGGTCTGGAGGCATTTGAGGGCCTTTTGATCCAAGGTAAAGATCATATCTACATTCTAGACAACTTCTTCCAGAGATCCGACGGTGAAATTGTCAACGTCTGGCAAGCGCCAACGGATGAACGCGACCCTTATGTCCGCATGATCGCCGGGCGAGAGTCAATGGAACGCAAAGCGCAAGATCATGAAACGCGAAGCTGGAAATGGTCTGATTTAATCAGCGTCTCCAAAAGGAGGTTCCTGTTCCGTGATGTCGCCCTGGAGATCTTCTTTTCAGATGGCACCAGCTACCTTTTGACACTCATCTCGTCGCGAGCTCGGGACAGTCTCTTCAGTCAACTCGCCGCCAAAGCTCCTCAAGTTACCGGTAGTGTCGGTCACGCACGCCCTGAGGATGCTTGGAGATTTGAAACTCTCAGAAGTCAAGAAGATGCACCACAGACACTGGGTTCGAAGTTCGCCAGTGTCTTCGGACATTCTCCGGTATATCCAGCAACGCGCAAGTGGGCGAAGGGGGAAATTTCCAACTTCCATTACCTGATGCTAATCAACACACTAGCCGGGAGAACGTTCAACGATCTCACACAGTATCCAGTGTTCCCCTGGGTGCTCGCGGATTACACCAGCGAGGAATTGGACTTGACCAATCCCCTAACATTCCGCGACCTTTCCAAGCCCATGGGTTGTCAGACATCGGAACGCGAGGCGGACTTCAGGGAGCGGTACAAGGCCTTTGCTGAGATGGCCGACGAGAATTCGCCGCCATTTCACTACGGCACTCATTACTCTTCCGCCATGATTGTCAGCTCCTATCTCATCCGACTGCAGCCATTCGTTAAGTCGTATCTACTGCTCCAAGGAGGTACATTTGATCATGCTGACCGCTTATTCTATTCCATTGGAAAAGCTTGGGAGTCTGCATCACGCGGTAACATGTCCGATGTACGAGAGCTCACTCCAGAGTTCTTCTATCTCCCGGAGTTTCTCATCAATTCAAACAAGTTTGAGTTTGGATTTCTCCAGAATATGACAACTGCCATTGACTCAGTTGAATTGCCACCGTGGGCGAAGGGTGACCCTAAGATCTTCATTGCAAAGCATCGAGAAGCTCTCGAAAGCCCCTACGTCACGCAGAATCTACACCATTGGATCGACCTGGTGTTTGGCTGCAAGCAGAAGGGCGAGGCTGCAGTTGAGGCAGTCAATGTCTTTCATCACCTGTCCTATCAAGGTGCCAAAGACATCGATGCCATTGAAGACCCTGTCGAACGACTTGCTACAATCGGGATCATTCATAACTTTGGCCAAACACCTCACCAGATCTTCAGCCGGCCACATCCACAGAGAGAAGATCCGGGACAGAAGACGTCACGGTTAGACCGGTTGGCTGAGTCGCTTACTCAGCTCCCTCTTGCTCTTCTTGGTGAGTCCTCTCTATGAGTTAGGGGCTTGGTAGGTATCAAGCCATGTACTAATAACAGTGACAGATATCGGTGAGCAGGTCTCTTCATTATCGATGAGGCAAGACCGTCTGCTATGCGCGGCTGCTCTACGGTTGAATATCCCTCCCAACTACGACAACTACATGGAATGGGGTTTCTTCGATGGCAGCGTCAGATTCTACTCTGCCGATCACCGCAAGGTATGGCAACGATGAATATGTTTTTTCGAGCGATATAGCCTCTGACGCGGTTGCAGCTTCTGGGCCATTTTGAGCACGTCCATGCGGGCCAACTGTCGTGCGCATTGTTCGCCGACTCTAGGACGTTGGTGACGGCGGGAACAGACTGCACCGTCTCGATCTGGACTTTCACCTCGTCGGGCAAAAGTGTCGACCTACAGCCATCCGGGTCATTGTTCGGACATCGTTCTCCGGTCACAGTACTTGCGGTGTCCTGGTCCTTCAGTGCGCTCTTGTCAGCCTCGACTGATGGGCAGATCATGCTATGGGATCTCAATCGGCAGTGTTTTGTTCGAGAGTTGCCGGCCAACGGACCTATTGATGTAAGCTGTCCTGGGATACGTGATGGACTTCTGATATCTAACGTTTTAGCAGTGTGCTAAGATTAACGATGTCACCGGCGAGATCATGATATGCCGAGGCGATCGTCTCAGTCTGTACAGTCTCAATGGAGCATTGTTACTCGAGCAGGTGGTAGGCGACTCTGCAGACGACCAAGTCATGACTTGCGTCTTCTACGAGGGAGTAAACAATATGTGGCAAGAACGGGAGCTGCTGTTTACGGGGCATAAACGGGGTGTTGTCAATGTGAGTCATTGATTCAAAGTGCCGAGCCCTACAGTCACTAATGCCTTTCAGATCTGGAGCAAAATCGTTCATCATGGACGCTTTGAATTAGAGCTCATTAGACAGCTCCATCATGTGGATAACCTCCGTGACAACGGCGCCAACATCGCGGCAGGTATCACCAGTATCCTTGCTTTACCGCATGCTGTCTATACCGGTGATGAGGTTGGTAGAGTGGTGAGTACACGCGGAATGTGATGCAAAGGTCGATCGGAAGCTAATTGATGACTAGTATGAATGGAGCTGTGTTCAACGCCGATGATGAGGTTGGGGAAGAAACTCAATACGCATTCGGCCGTTGCTAGAAGATCTGAAGGGAATTTCTAGACGCGCTTTATCTGGGTGATAAGGATCACAATGCTCATCAGTGTCGGATGGCCGAGTTTATGTACGATCAGCCTAGGCTCTGCGATCCACCCAAGCAGTATTTCGGCATGCAATCTTCGATTCGCACTTTCGTCTCCAGCCCAGTTCTGTTTTCACTGGGTATGACAAAGATTGGAGACTCCACTGTATATAGCCAAAATGATTCCCGTGGGGGAGACACGCGGAGAAAAAAGTTGCGGTGGCCACGGATGTGTGGGGGCAGTTGTACTACATCAAGACTAGACAGAGGGGCCCAGGAGTCATGGAAGGGCGGGTATATTGTCCTGAATGGGAAGCATCACCTCCAAAGAATCATTCGAGAACGGTTAAATTCGGTTTTAGTGGCGGATCAGGGGGATCCTGGAACCGGAAACCCATCTGCCTCGTCAATCCGAGTACTCCGTCGTGAGCTGGAACGTAGCGGGCAAAGGCCACGGGAGCAAAGACAAAGACCGCAGAACGAGCCGAAGGAGGGGCAACCGATGGGTAAACGGGAACGGTAGGGGAGTACTGCTGTACGGTGTACCTATGACCATGCAGTAAGCCCGCAGCTGCTGCGGCGGCAGCTCAAACACGCTGGGGAAGAAACCTCCGGTGAAGCAAAAAGGGCCTGGATGGGGTCGTGATTAGCCGGGCGTGAGTGGACCGCCCGGCGCTGTCTTGCCGGCCCAGTGTGCTCCGGCCTGCACCAACCAACAATGCATGAATTGAAGTATGAGAATGGGAGAGAGATGATACAGGCACTGAGTAGGACTAGTGCCCCTCGTGTTAAGTGGGAGCTATAACGATAGTGGTAGTAATCCTGGATGAAGAGGGGTTGCAGAAGAGAAGAGAAAGGAAGGCAGTTAAGTGGAAGGAAATATTAACTGGAACAACAACAGAAACGAGCAGAAAGGCATAGCGTCATCGGGGAGGGAAGCTGTTTTGCCCCACCATTCGCTCATCCAGTTTCCCTTCCCAATTCAACCCCCCCCTCCCTCCCACTCCCACTCCCACTTCGCTCTCCGCTGACTTCCCCTACTTATTCTTACCCAATCCCGCCTCTGATCCTTTTCTTCTTTCTTCAATCTATCTAAAAAGTTCATTTTACTCACTTCTAATCTTCAACTCCCTACCTTCTCACACTCATCTATCACAATGTCTTCCGCCCTCGAACAGCTCAAGGCCACCGGCACCGTATGTGATTCCTTCCCGCCCAACTCCCGCGATTCTGCCAACTAACCATCTTCGTTCATTGAAAAAAAGGTCGTCGTTTGCGACTCCGGTGACTTCGCCACCATTGGCAAGTACAAGCCCCAGGATGCCACCACCAACCCCTCCCTCATCCTGGCTGCCTCCAAGAAGCCCGAGTACGCCTCCCTGATCGACAAGGCCGTCGAGCAGGGTAAGAAGGAGGGTAAGACCGTCGACGAGCAGGTCGACGCCACCCTCGACAACCTCCTCGTCGAGTTCGGCAAGGAGATCCTCAAGATCATTCCCGGCAAGGTCTCCACTGAGGTCGATGCCCGTTTCTCCTTCGACAAGCAGGCCTCCATTGACAAGGCTCTGCACCTCATCAAGGTACGATTCTTGTCCACGTTGAGAGAGGGACGAGGAAAATGTGAGACTAACATTGTGTACAGCTCTACGAGAAGCAGGGTATCTCCAAGGACCGTATCCTGATCAAGATCGCCTCCACCTGGGAGGGTATCAAGGCCGCTGAGGAGCTTCAGTCCAAGCACGGCATCAACTGCAACCTTACCCTCATGTTCTCCGAGGTTCAGGCCATCGCCGCCGCCGAGGCCGGTGCCTACCTCATCTCCCCCTTCGTTGGCCGTATCCTCGACTGGTACAAGGCCGCCCACAAGCGCGACTACACCGCCCAGGAGGACCCCGGTGTCAAGTCCGTCCAGAAGATCTTCAACTACTACAAGAAGTACGGCTACAAGACCATCGTCATGGGTGCCTCTTTCCGTAACACCGGTGAGATCACCGAGCTGGCTGGCTGCGACTACTTGACCATCTCCGTAAGTTCCCATCATTCGCCTCGCGCTGCCTCGTCATACTCGCCCGCAGAAACTAACCACATGTATTACAGCCCAACCTCCTTGAGGACCTCTACAACTCCACCGAGGCCGTCCCCAAGAAGCTCGACGCCGCCGATGCCGCCAAGCTCGACATCCCCGAGCGCTCTTACATCAAGGACGAGGCTCTCTTCCGCTTCGACTTCAACGAGGAGGCCATGGCCGTCGAGAAGCTCCGCGAGGGTATCTCCAAGTTCGCCGCCGACGCCGTCACCCTCAAGGACATCCTCAAGTCCAAGATCCAGGCATAAATGGAATAACTTGTGTTTTCCGTTTTTCCCCCTGCGTTCTGGTTTTGCTGATCTAAATTGTGTGTGGCAGTATGCATGCGCGCGCATTTTCTTTCAAAACTTTTCTTTGTGATGACCCATATATTATTCCCACTTGTGTAAAGAAAAATTTGATGATCATGATAATTTGATGAGTTTCGAAACAGTTCAGCTGGATTTGGGCTGGGTAGATACAAAAATGATGATTGTCATTTAGAGTGAGCGCTTTGGTAAATTGACTGCATCTTGCTCTGCTTACTGTGTTCTACAGCGTAGAAAAATGAGTACTAAGATCGTGATAACGAATATAGTGCACAGTACAAGAAGGGGTCCGCTGGTGGGGTCAATGTCCTGGTACAGTACGAGTCAGTCCGAACTCCAATATGACAGCTGCAGCAAGGGCACAACTTGCATGCAGCATGCCGATGGTGTATGGTGACGTGGCGGCTTTAGAACAGAGACAAATACAGTGTAGAGTAACAATTATACGAGAGGGTATTTCGATGCAACATTGAGTATACGAGGTACTGTGTATCTTGTATCCCAGGTCCCGTAGTATTTGAACAGAATAGGGGATGCCTAACGTGATCGTCCCAATGTGCTCCAGGAATTGAGTTCATAGAGGATCGTTGGGGGAAGGAAGACCTCCGAGATCGCTGGTTCGAAGTTCCGTCCTTTAGTGCTGCTGTGGTGCCGCTTTTACATGCTCGCCCGCGGCGGAGAGCGTGGCGGTAGAATGGGCGTCTGAGGTGCGTGTTCCCAGCGGATCGCGGCCGCTCTACTACTAACGTACTGTACTATTATTCGGTATATGGATAATTGTCCTAGAGGTGACATCGATTGGCGGGTGTAAGAGGGAGTTCTGAAAAGTATATCCTGGGCTTGTTATCTTTTTACCTGGTCTCGTGCAAAGCAACGGCCATGATTTGTGTAACAAGTTACACAGTACCTGATTCTTTTGTTTGGCCATGCAAATATAAGCTGGGCCGGACTTGGATAGACGGCAGGCATGAGAATCGCAGGACCAGGAGCGTGCTCAATAGCAATAAGTGAGTGCCCCGGAACTGCAACCAAGTACTGCACGGTACATACAAAAGCAGCGGCATGCGCAATCGGGCAGCTCACATGCAAACGAGACAGTCCCCATGTTCAGCGACAGATTTAGTCACAGTGCCAGCTGCCTCGTACCCGGCTCGAGTTTCTTGGGGGGTTTATCGCATTGTTGTTTCAGTAAGACAGTAGGCGACGGGGCTGGAGAGAATCGGCTTGCTGATGGGAGGGCAGCTCGACAGCAGAAATTAGAATCTGGCAGATCAAACGGACAGAGAGATTGTTCTTTTACAATTGCTGAATTGGCTTGTCAGTCAGTACGCAGTACGGAGTATAGAAGGCAAAGTCAACATAAACAACTTCGTGTGATGTGCATCTGGACCCGACCTGCTTATGAATCGGGGGTGAGGATGGAAGACACAAACAAAACGTCATTCCCGAGAACCCCGCCAGGTGGGGTAAAAAGCGACTCAGATTGGAAGCTCGTCGAAACCGAACCCACTGCCGCTGTTGCTCCGTTGCTACTGCTTGGTTGCTGGTGCACTGGCTGGTGCTCCTCCTCGGTGCTTTGCTCATTTTAGCTTACCCCTCGTTCGCTTTCCTCCACTTCTTCCCTCCCTCAATCCTCTCTCTCTTCCTCTCGCTCTTTCTCCTGTTCCTTCTCCCGTCCATCTCTTGCTTTCCTCACCAGTTTTTGAATCCCCAGATAGCAAATTCCCCCCACAACCGTCAAAATGGTCAAGGCTGGTAAGTTTGGATACCCTCCTTTGCATCTAGTCCTCGTATTATTGGTCTTTCGCCTTTCCATGGGATCCACGATCGGCCAACGGCCCGGGGGAAGGGGGACCTTGAGTGAGCAGATTTGAGCACCTTGCGATCTCTCCTCCTGCGTCACCCGACCTATCACCGATTGAGGACCCTGCTCGATGGACAGACAAGCTCAAGAAGCACTGCCAACTCGAGTCCCTGGAGGCTTTGATTCGTTCTCCCCTGTCGGCTTGACAAAATAACCACCACCTTGTTCCCGGCATTGAACCCTGCTAGCCGGCTGGCTGGTCCTGGCTCAGCTCGGATCGGGTGATTCTGTTTCTGGAAGCCTTCTAGTTAATGGATGAGATCATGGGCTAACTCAAACTTTCTTCCCCTCTCACCAGTCGCTGTTCTCCGTGGAGACTCTAAGATCTCCGGCACTGTCACCTTCGAGCAGGCCGATGAGAACACTCCCACCACCATCTCCTGGAACATCACTGGCCACGACGCCAACGCTGAGCGTGGCTTCCACGTTCACCAGTTCGGTGACAACACCAACGGCTGCACCTCCGCTGGCCCTCACTTCAACCCTTTCGGCAAGACCCACGGTGCTCCCGAGGACTCCGAGCGCCACGTCGGTGACTTGGGTAACTTCAAGACCGATGCTGAGGGTAACGCCGTCGGCTCCAAGCAGGACAAGCTTGTGAAGCTCATCGGTGCTGAGAGCGTCCTGGGCGTACGTTTCCTCGAACCCCCTCTTACTTGGTGGCCGTATCAATTGAACTAACACGTTTGCAATGCAGCGGACCCTGGTCGTCCACGCCGGCACTGATGACCTCGGCAAGGGTGGTAACGAGGAGTCCAAGAAGACCGGTAACGCTGGTCCCCGCCCTGCCTGCGGTAAGTTGTCTCTCGAATGGCCTTATCGTGGAAATCTACTCATGTCTCTGCTTTTTTGATAGGTGTCATTGGTATCGCCGCTTAAGTGCATTTATAATAGTGTTATGTTGTCAATTTAGGTCTGAAAGGCTGAACCAGAATGGAAATAGTCTGCTATTGTCCGATTGATGCCATGAAACAGATTGAAATGCATGAATGACTTGATGCGAGTAATCCAGGCGATTCCCTGTATTGGTCGACCATGTAGTACTTTTCTTGTAATGTGTCGTAGTGATACGAGGTGATAGTCAGCGTCAAAGCTCCATCGCTGTCTCGATGCCAATGCCTCGATTTTCAGTGCTAGGTTGAGTACGGTGAGTTGTATCCGAGCTAGAGATATCCGGGGGTATACAAAATGAAGCTGATTCCTATGCCTTGGTTCAAGGGGTTCTGTCAATCGAATATGGTCTCCAAAAGACAGACTTGATGGCGATGTGGTGTCTAGAGTTGACTTGACAGTGCCAATTGCCAGTACTGTGCACTACAGTGATTTGTTTAATATGAATCAATAACTGTAAAGGTATAATTCATCTTTTAATCAATAGACACACACACAGTGCTGCATTGTTGAGTGGCTAGAATCCAGTAGGCGGAAGCTCCCCCACAAAGTCAGGTGTTCCGCCTTGACGCGATTGGTCTCGCTCTCCCGCCGGTGCTGTACCTGGCCAGATCAGCAGCATCCGCCGTTGGCTCGATACTCTTTGGTCTTCCCGTTGACTCTCCTCTTTCCTTCCGCCTCTCCTGATACTTTCCCTTTCCCAACCATCCTACCCTTTCTTCCCTTTTTCTTGTTTGATTGCTTTACCTTGGGCCTTGTCAATCTGACTGGGTGAAGTCCTTATACCTCAATTCCTTCTCCTCTTCACCCATTACACCAGCTCTCGCCAGAATGCCTCTGGAAGCTCGTGTGAAATCTGTCCTATCCGGCGACACGGTGGTGCTGTCGCATATCACCAATCCCGGCCAGGAACGCGTCCTAAGTCTGGCATATGTCTCAGCCCCCAGACTGCGCAGAGAAGGCGATGAGGTAAGTCGATTTGTCTCAAATTACGGTCCTCGATCGTTGATCGGATCACCTTTCCTCTTCCGCTGGTTGCCCGCATATGTGTCCTTTGCATTGAGGCAGTGAACTCGATCTCATTTGAGTCTCTACCCTTACCCCGTTTCCACACGTTATGATATCAGAAGTCACTTCAGGGTAAGATGCAGCATCGTTTGCTAATCTGAATTGATGAAACTCTGCAGCCGTACGCTTTTCAGTCCCGCGAATTCCTCCGTGAACTCCTCGTTGGCAAAGTAGTGCAATTCCAAATCCTGTACACCATTCCCACCGGCGCCAAGCGGGACTACGGCACAATCAAACTACCCACCTTCGAGGTCTCTGTGCCGGATATCAGCGTGCAGGAAGGATGGACTCGTGTTCGTGAAGAGGCTGGTAAGCGCAGCGATGAGTCTGAGGAAACCCTCGCCTACCTCGAGCGGCTGCGTGCTCTGGAGGATCACGCCCGGTCGGAAGGCAAGGGAACCTGGGCTGGCTCCGACAAGGGTCACACTGAAACCAGCTATGAGCTGTCAGACGCCAAGTCCCTGGTCGATGAATGGAAGGACAAGCATCTCGAGGGTATTGTCGAGCGAGTTCTGAACGGGGATCGTTTGGTCCTTCGCTTGCTGCTATCGCCAGAGGAACATCTGCAGGTCGTCGCTGCCATGGCTGGTGTCCGGGCGCCTGCGGCCAAGCGGGTGACTGCTGACGGCAAGGAGCAGGCAGCCGAGCCGTACGGAGACGAGGCGTTCCAGTTTGTGGAATCCCGTATCCTGCAGCGCAAGGTTCAGGTGTCTCTGCTTGGTGTCACCCCCCAGGGCCAATTGATCGCCAGTGTTCTTCACCCCAACGGAAATGTTGCCAAGTTCTTGCTCGAGGCTGGTTTGGCCCGCTGCCATGACCACCACTCAGCCCTCCTGGGTACTGAGATGGCCGCTTTCCGCCGCGCCGAGAAAGCTGCCAAGGATGCCAGAGTCGGCTTGTTTACCGGTCTCGTCGCATCCAAGGGTCCTGCAGGCGGGGCCGCTGAGGACTACACTGTCACCCGTGTGTTGAATGCCGACACTCTGTTCATCAGGAACAAGGCTGGCCAGGAGAAGAAGATCAGCTTGAGCAGCGTCAGACAGCCAAAGCCTTCCGATCCCAAGCAGGCGCCCTTCGCTGCCGATGCTAAGGAATTCGTTCGCAAGAGGCTCATTGGCAAGCATGTTAAGGTTACCGTCAACGGCAAGAAGCCCGCAACAGAGGGTTACGAGGAGCGAGACGTCGCCACCGTTGTACAAGGAAACACCAACATTGCTCTTGCGCTGGTCGAGGCGGGTTACGCTTCCGTGATCCGTCACCGCCAGGACGACGACGACCGCTCCCCGGAGTACGACAGCCTGATGCTCGCGGAGGCTGAGGCTCAGTCGGAGGGCAAGGGCATGTGGTCGCCCAAGCCACCCAAAGCCAAGCAGTACCAAGACTACTCCGAGAGCCTTCAGAAGGCCAAGATGGAAGTCTCGATCCTTCAGAGGCAGAAGCGGGTGCCGGCCATTGTCGACTTCGTCAAGTCCGGCTCGCGCTTCACTGTGCTTGTGCCTCGCGAGAACGCCAAGCTTACCCTCGTTCTGTCCGGTATCCGTGCTCCCCGCTCTCCTCGCAACCCCACTGAAGCCGGTGAGCCCTTCGGCCAGGAAGCACATGATCTGGCTAACAGACGCTGCTTGCAACGCGACGTTGAGATTGACGTCGAGACCATCGACAAGGTCGGTGGATTCATTGGTACCCTGTATGTGAACAAGGAGAACTTCACCAAGATTCTGCTCGAGGAGGGTTTTGCTACTGTTCACGCGTACTCCGCGGAGCAGTCCGGTCACGCCACCGAATATTTCGCTGCCGAGCAGAGGGCTAAGGAGGCTCGCAAGGGACTCTGGCACGACTGGGATCCTAGCAAGGATGTCGAAGAGGAGGAAGAGGCGGTCAACAGCAGCAACGGTGCTGAAGCCGAGGAAGTTCAGCGCCGCAAGGATTACCGCGATGTGATGGTCACTTACGTTGACCCGACCAACGGTCGCCTCAAGATTCAGCAGATTGGCACCGGTACCTCAGCCCTCACCGAGTTGATGAGTGCCTTCCGCTCTTTCCACATCAACAAGGCCAACGATACTCCCCTGCCTGGACCCCCCAAGGCCGGTGACTTCGTGGCGGCCAAGTTCAGCGAAGATGGGGAATGGTACCGTGCTAAGGTTCGTCGCAACGACCGTGAGAAGCAGCAGGCGGAGGTCTTGTATATCGACTTCGGTAACTCCGAGGTTCTTCCCTGGTCTCGTCTGCGACCCCTGAGCCAGCCTCAGTTCTCTGTTCAGAAGCTTCGCCCTCAGGCTGCTGATGCAGTTCTCTCTCTGGTTCAGCTCCCCGGCGCCGAGGACTACCTGCAGGATACTGTGAGCTTCATCGAGGAGCAGGTTTACAACCGTGAGCTTGTGGCCAACGTGGACTACGTCTCCCCCGAAGGCACCTTGCATGTGACCCTTCTGGACCCCACCGAGTCGAAGAATCTGGATCACAGCATCAACGCGGATATTGTTCGGGAGGGTCTGGCGATGGTCCCGCGGAAGTTGAAGGCTTGGGAGCGCGCTGCCGCTGATACCTTGGCTCACCTCCGTGTGATGGAGGACGAAGCCAAGCAGGAGCGACGCGGTATGTGGGAGTACGGTGACCTGACTGAGGACTAAGCTCGCGGAACTTTTCTTTATTTGGATTAACTGTACAAATATTGCGCAGCTGGTGCTTTCTTTTACGTTTGATTCCCAACGGGCGACGAACTGTAAGGTCCTGATCGGGCTGTTTGATTCGCCCAAAAACTATTTTGATGTGACCTACTAGGCTAGTCTAGGATACTCCCTCACTTTTTTAACTCTGCTTGAAGGATACCAAAAAGGAGAAATCAAAACTGATGACGTTCTTATTCCACGGAGCGATATATTCTCTGCCGTCTGCATAAATTGGACCCTGGGTGCATAGATGACATAACCCGGCAATTGTGAGTCCTCCGGGCATCCGAAACTTTGTTTTGCGGCGATGGAGAGAGAAGTCCCCAGCAAGACAAATCCGTTGTTCAGCCCAACCCGCCGGTCTTGTTACTCCAATTTGCTCCTTGGTCGGCGACTTAGTTTTTGTGTGTCGGGCGATAATCTCCACAGGCGTGTTCAATTGCTCTTCGTATCCCAGCCATTTCTTTGCATGCCGGGTATAAGGCAAGTCCGCGAAGATCCGATCGATCCCCGAGCGCAGCTCTCGTAAAGACGACCGACCCACTCTAGATCCTATAGCCTTGTTTCATTTCAACATTCTTTCTCGATTTTACCAACCATCCCCCCTGACCAAACAAACAATCACATATCAAAATGCCTTTCTGGGGAAGCAAATCGACGCCCGCCAAGGCGGAGAGCGACGCCAGCTCGAATGACGCAACCGATCCTAAGAACGACCCGGTCGCGGCGGCATCGCAGGCGGCGGGCACGGCCTGGCTCGCGGGCCATCTCCACCACCTGACGGAAGACCAGGAGCAGAAGCTGGAAGAGTTCAAAAAGCTGTGCGAGCAAAATGGATACTATACGCCGGAGCGGGATGGCGAGAAGGCCAGCCACGCAGATGCGACGATGCTGTACGGATTCATTTCCCCCCTTTACGCACCCTTGCCACAACAGCAGACAAGAAAGACACTGACACTGGGACCTCGGTCTATAGGCGTTTCCTTCGCGCGCGCAAGTTCGACATCGATGGCGCTTGGGGGCAGTTCAAGGATACCGAGGATTGGCGCCGCGAGAACGCCATTGAGTCGTTGTATGAGAACATCGAGGTGGATGCATATGAAGCTGCTCGACGGATGGTTCGTTATTTATCCGATGGTAGAAAATAGGTTGAAGATGAATATGGTAGCTGACAGTGGTCTGTACCACCATAGTATCCTCAATGGACCGGCCGTCGTGACCGTCGCGGTATCCCTGTCTATGTGTTCGAGATCCAACATTTGAACAACAAGAATATGGCCGCGTACAAATCTACTCTGTCCACTGAGACACAACAGTCATCGAAGGTTCCCGAGCGGTTGCTGCGTCTCTTCGCTCTTTACGAGAATCTCCTTCGCTTCGTCATGCCCTTGTGCTCACAGCTGTCTCGCCCTAACCCGGAGACGCCCATCACTTCGTCCAACAACATCGTCGATGTCAGCGGTGTGGGATTGAAGCAATTCTGGGATCTCAAGGGTCACATGCAAGATGCCAGTGTGTTGGCGACCGCTCATTATCCTGAGACTCTGGACCGGATCTTCGTGAGTTGTTCTCCGCATAGCATGTGGAAAGGCGTTGCTAATATGAAGTTAATGTAGATCATCGGCGCCCCTTCGTTCTTCCCCACTGTCTGGGGCTGGATCAAGCGCTGGTTTGACCCGGTTACCACGTCCAAGATCTTCATCCTCTCGGCCGCAGAGGTGAAGCCGACGCTGACGAATTTCATGGATCCCTCCAGCATCCCCAAGCAATATGGTGGCGACCTGGACTGGAAGTGGGGCGACATGCCCAACCTCGACGAAGAAGCCCGTCAGGTCGTCGGCGCCCTCGAAACTCCAGCAGCTGAGGGCGAAACCAAGCCCAGCTTCATCAAGGGCCCCGTCTTGTTCAACGACGACACTATCGAGATTCTCGGCAAAGTCAACGGCGAGAGTCGGAAATCCACCCTCCCTGCGGGTTCCGTCGCCCAGCAAGGCGAGTCCGCTGCTGCCCCGGTTGAAAAGGCTGCCGCGCGAGAGACTCCTGACGCAGCCTCTGAGGACGAGAAGGTGGCTGCCGTGCAAGAAGACGCCGCCGCCCTCAAGTCAGAGGCGGAGACGGCCACGAACACCGTTGCCGCTTGAATTTATCTCATTTGAACCATTTCTCTCGTTCCCACCATAATCCATCTTTCTTAGCCAATTTTTCTTCGCTTCATCTCTCATCAAGACATTCATCAAGACACTAATAAAACGCACCATATGAGGCGTCATCCGGATCGACTTGAATAATTTCATAGAAGATTTTCTGCGCTGCATTTCATGGAACGGGCTTATTTAAAGGCATGGTCCGTACAATTTCAATTCATCAAACGGATTTACGATTGATCAGAGCCTGGTCTGACTTGACTCAGGTCGATTGCTCAGTCAACACCTGGCACTTCTCTGTTTCTCCATCACTTCCCATACTCTAGCGGCTGGAGTCTATGCCTGGTATATATTCGAAGCTTGAACTTCGGTATAACATTCTTGTTTGAGATGCTTTGAGAACTACAATGTAGACATTTGTTCTCATCTGGGTTTTTTTTCGGGTTCAGCAGTTCGGTTCCTGTCAATAGACATCACTTCGGAATCTTTACCAGAAACTTACTGATCCAGAGTAATAATGCAATGCTTAAACAAAATAAGAGGTAGAATTGTTAACCTCAACCCCCATCAGTAGGTGTCATATTCCAATTGAGCCGTAGTCGGCAATGTATGGGGACTGCCAGAGCGAGGGCTAGACTAGCCGCAAAGGTCAGTCGGCCATCACCGCCCGCAGCTCGTCCTTCCCCGGATAGCGTCACCCACCTGCTATTTATTACTGTAGAACAACAACAACAACAGCCGCCTGTAACCCCTCAATGACAGCCCGAGAGTCACGGTCATAACCATGTGGCTACAGGCGACGCTCCTTTTGCTCGCCTCGTGCGTTCCCTCCATCTCGGCCATCTATGTCGATGAGGTCGGCCATATCGATTACCACCACGCGCTTCTCGGCCTTCCCACCTCCCAATCGACCTTCTTCCTCAAGCCCTCCGCCTCGTCCAATGCCTCCCTCCTCTATACTCTCTCCGAGGACTCTCTCCTCGGCGCCGTGAATCCCAAAGATGGATCTCTGGTCTGGAGACAGAATCTCTCGCAACCCGCCCTCCCCGCCGACCAGGACGGCGTTTCCGGTCTCCTACGAGCCTCCGAAGGAACGAACGCTGTGGTCGGTGCGCTGGGGGACTATGTCTCCGCATGGACTGCTCTCGATGGAAAATTGATCTGGGAAAAGTGGTTTGCGGATGAGAAGATCGCGGATCTCGAGCTTCTAGAGCTTGAAGATGCCAGTGCCGTGCCGTCAGCTAAAGACACTGTGGCGCTATTCAGTGGAACGGCAGGTGTCGTTCGGAGACTCGATGGTAATTCGGGCCAGGTCAAGTGGGAATACAAAGATGAAAGGTTCGATTTCAAACCCTGCGCTCCCTCTACTACCGAAATGCCGGGTGGTTAGTGTTGCTGTTGCTAACTGCTAGAGCTCTCATGACAGTGGAGACATCCCGTTGCAGCTGTCGTCCTCGTCCACGGAAGTTTTCTACATCGCCCTGCAAGCATCGGCGCGGAAGGGCTATCGGATCCGCGTGGTTTCGCTGGATCCCTTGACGGGCCTTCCTACCCAGCAGCAGATCCTGAGCTCGGAAAACGAGGTGTCCGGTCCGAAGTCCGTCGTCTTCGTCGGCGCGAACACGGCCGCGCCTGTGATCGTGTGGTCTGACGCTGCGCACAAGACGCTGAAGGTCAACATTATTGGCACCAAGCAGGTATCCTCCTTCGATATTGAGAATACAAGCGGCGAGAGTATCCGGTCGATCACCGTCCACACCCCGAAGAAGCTGGAATCGCTGCCCCATTACCTGGTGCACTACGAGACGGACTCGGCCACATGGGCGGAGGTTTACCACGTTGATCTAAGGACTTCTGCCATTTCCAAGGCGTATGAGCTGCCCCGCTTGCAGGGATGGTCTGTCTTCTCCACGAGTAACAAGGACGCCAACGTCTACTTCACCCGCATCACGCAGTCGGAGACTACCGTCGTTTCTTCTGTCTCGTATGGCATCCTGGGAAGATGGCCTCACCAGTCTCCCCCGCTGGAGGAGGCGGTGCACGCCGTCTCTGAAGTTGTGACCAAGGGTAACTCGGTTGCTGTTCGGTCCGCAGCTGCTCTCGTCTCCGGGGACTGGCAGTTGATCCGCGGTGGTCAGGTCGAGTGGACGAGGTACGAGGCCTTGACGGGCGCCTTGGCCGCTTCGTGGGTTGAGACGGATGGCTCCGAGGACTTGGTCCATCAGCTCGAAGTCGAAGGCCATGAGAGCGTCTACAAGGCTTACATCCACCGCGTCAAGCGCCATGCCCGAGACCTTCAACATCTCCCTGAGTGGCTCAAGGACCTCCCGAAGCGCATTGTGACCAGCATACTCACTGACGAGGTCTCCAACCTCGACAGCTTTGGAATCTCTAAGCCTGTCATCGTTGCCGCGAAGAACGGTCGGGTTTATGCGTTGGATGCCGGGAACCACGGTGCCGTGTCTTGGGCTGTCAAGGCTGCTGAGAAGGACTCATGGGATGTGAAGGCCATCGTGGCTCAACCAGGATCCGCCACTATCTACGCCGATGATGGTAGTTCTGTCACTCTGGATGTCACGTCTGGCGCGATCCTCGCTCGTACCTCAGGCACCACTACCAAGATCCGCGCCGTTGCCGTCATTGACGATGGCTCCGCTCCAGTCACTATTGGCATTCGTGAGGATGGTACCCCGTTGGAATCCCTCGATCTCCCTGGGTTCTTTGTCACCCAGAGTAGCGACGGCCGGGTGTTGGGATGGGCCGCCAGGGACAACAAGACCCCCGTCTGGCAGTTCCTCCCTCCCCATGGAGAGAAGATCGTCTATGCCACTGCACGGCCCGCTCACGACCCTGTGGCGTCGATCGGTAAGGTTCTGGGTAACCGCTCTGTTCTCTACAAGTACCTGAACCCCAACCTTGCTCTCATCACCACCGTCGGCGAGAATACGGCGACGTTCTACCTCCTCGATGCTGTCTCTGGCCGCGTGCTGCACACTTCTGTCCAGAAGGGTGTGGACACTACGCAACCGATTGCCTCCGCCATCTCCGAGAACTGGTTCGCGTACTCGTTCTACGCGGACGTCATCTCCCCCTCCACATCCAAGGGCTACCAGCTCGTGATCTCGGAACTCTATGAGGCGCCAGTCGCCAACGACCGCGGCCCCCTCGACGCCGCCGCCAACTACTCCAGCCTTGCCTCCCTCCCCTCTCCGCACATCATCTCCCAATCCTTCGTCATCCCCGAGCCCATCTCGCACATGACCGTGACTCAAACCCGCCAGGGCATCACCACCCGCAACCTCCTCTGCACCCTGCCCCTCTCGAACGCGATCATCGGCATCCCTCGCCCCGTCCTCGACCCCCGCCGCCCGGTCGACCGCGACCCCACTTCCACCGAGGCCGAAGAGGGCCTGTTCAAGTACAGCCCCTTCCTCGAGTTCGAAGGGCGGTGGTATCTGACCCACTCGCGCAACGTCGCGGGGATCAAGAAGGTGCTGTCCAGCCCGACGCTGCTCGAGAGCACGAGCTTGATCTTCGCCTTCGGCGGGGACATCTTCGCCACTCGCGCGACGCCGAGCCAGGCGTTCGACGTGCTGGGCAAGGGCTTCTCCAAGCTGCAGTTGGTTCTCACCATCCTGGCCTTGAGTGCCGGTGTGACGATACTGGCGCCTATGGTATGTCTTCTCCCTCCCTTATGTGCTTTGCTTTAGGGTACTGGTTATGTTTTTGGCCAAGCTAACTTGTTCTTTTTTTCTTTGTGTAGGTCCGCCGGAAACAAATCAACATGATCTGGAAGGCATCGTCGTAGAGTGCGTGGCTAGCTGCGGAAGCTTGGTCTGGTGTGGATTGAGCGGTTCGATTTGTGAGAAGTATAGTTGGAGTGACGATGAGATAGATATATATGATTAATTCAGTTTATGATTGAGAACAGCGTTAGTGCTTCTGGCTGAGTACTGTTGCTGTTGGTAGCAGTTCTGTCAAGATGGTAGATTCTGCTGTGCGTTTAGCTATATACTTCGTGTTGATCCATCTTGTGCGTTGCAACGACAATCAAGATGCTAGAGACAGCTGGTTGTTCACAGGTTACTCCTCTTACGCTGCAACCGATGCTTGGCCTTGTCACATTGCGAGGGCCATAGGGTTGCGAGACAGCTGTTGAAAGTTTCAAAGCGTCGACATGCATGAAGTATAACTATGACCTATGAGAACCGTCCGCTAAGAATACCAATAACAGAAAGAAGTAACCTACACTCGACACTTGCTGATTCCAGCCACCCCAGAAAGAGAAATTCTGATACGAATAGAAGGTCCTCTGCCTCGACCGGGCCCCAGGGACTCGCTTCCCGGCGTCCCAATCTCCCCCCAACGATCCGTCAATATCTCCATGCCCTTTTTTCTTTTGGCGGGTTAATCACTTCCGCTTGAAGAGCTCGAACTGGAACTAGAACTCGAGCTCGACGAACTCGACTCACTCGACTCGGAGCAGCTTCTGTGCCGCCCACTGCGACGGTGCTTCTTCGCCTTCATCCTCTTGCGTCTATGAATTGCATAGAAGTGTTAGTGTGTGTGCGCGTGTGTGTTTCCCGAGGGACGGGGCCCAAAATTCTATGGGGCTAGAATCCGACCTACATCTTACTCGCGAACTTCATCCCCGCCGCCCCGGCCAATGCCCCGCCCGCCGTGCCGAGAAACCCGCCCCCCAACTTGCGGCCCAAGATCCCACCGGCTGCTGCGCCTGTCACGGTACTTGCGAGTCCTTTCTCGGTTGTTAGGTCTGGACCTGGGCCTGCAGTTGACGGGTGTGAAGGGGCTGGCGGCGGCAGCGGTGGTGCTGGCGGCAGTGGAGGACGCGGTAGACCCCCCTGCGGAGCGTAATACGACGCGCTCTCGCCTTGGATCATCTGGGGCTGCGAGCCGTAGGTATACGTATACGGTGCGTTGTTGGTGGTGCTGCTGCTGTCTCGATACTCTATGTACGGTGTAGCGGGCTCGGAGTATGCAGTGACTTGGCCTCCGGTCATGGTGAGAGGGATATTTGCTCGATGGATGTATGGAGAGTTGGTGGGGTACGAGGGGTTGAACTGTGGGGCGTAGTTATACTGTTGATATCGGTAGATTGGGGGTTTAGTATCTGATGGGCTTTTTTGGGGGGGGGGTGTGTTATGGGGTCTGGTTTACTTACAACCGGCTGCTGCTGCTGGTATCCTGGCTGAGGCTGCTGGTCTGGCTGACTCTGTCCCGGGGAAGGATATCCCGCCTGGTTTGGCGGGTCGTAGTTGCTGGGTTGCTGGCTGTAGTAATTGTTTTGGGGTGGGGCGTAGCGATTGCTGTTGCTGGGGGAGGTCATAATGATGGTGCTGGTTCCGCTTCGGTTGGTTGGAGTTGGTTGGAGTTGGATGGAGTGTTCCCTGGATGAGGATGGGTTTGTGATGTTGGTAGTATCTGTTGTAGTGGATCTTCAGGTGGTCATCGGAATGGTAGTGTGACTGATTGTTGGGCAGTAGATTGAAAGATGGTGGAAGGTGGGAGGATGGGTTGCGGTTGCCCTTGTTTGGCTGGACACAGCTTCTTCTATATGCAAACTGCTCATTATAGACTGTTGTCACGGATGAAGAGGCCACTGCTAGTGGTTTGAGGCTAAGTACTATTCTTGAACTTCTGTTCGAAGGGATTCCGGGCATATATGTCGAGAGTAACTGTATTCATGCATACTGAAGGTCATGCCAAGTACAAGTTAAAATTTTGTCAGGGTCGTTCTCGATGCTCCAGGCTTAGCTTCCTGCTAGATGGTGGACTATGCTGTCTCTAGTAGCTTGTGCAAATGCACAGAGACACTCTTCACTGCGATGGTTCAGTATATTAGCTGTAAGCTAGAGAGTCTGGAGTGAATATTGGAGATATAGAGGCTGACACACTGACGAATACGAGAACAGCATTCATGATTGAGGAAGAAAAAGCTTTGAGTACGAAGAAGCAGCTTATCTATGAAGTAGATCTTGAAGTAGTAGCCATGTCTTTCGAAATGGGTGTTAAACTGACAGTGAATGCGAGTCAATTTGCATCATATGTACTAGGTAGCTAAAGCCAACCTAGCCAACATCTGCCTTTTCCTCCTCCTCCTCCTCCTCCTCCTCCTCCTCCTCCTCCTC